TTATACTACTCAACCTTTTCTAAAATATAGAAAAAGATGGAATACTACCCAACCTATTCTATGAAGCAAACATTACCTTGATACCCAAACCAGGAAGAGACCCAACAAGAAAAGAAAATTATAGACCAATATCACTAATGAATATTATTGCGAAAATATTCAACAAGATCCTAAACAACAGAATCCAGCAACACAACAAACAAATCCTCAGTGTTTTAAGACAATAAATGTGTTTCATTATGCAACTAAGTTTGGTATGCTGGGTTGTAGCAGCAATAGGAAAGTAATACAACATAAAGTATAAATATGTAAGTGTCTCATTGAGCCGCAGTAAAGATCAATAGATCAATAGGATTAAATAGAGAAAAAAAGTTCAGAATCATGGTAGAAGATTTTAACATCCCTTACTCTGAGAGAACAGCTACACAAAATCACCAATAAATATTGAAGAATTAAGTAATACTATCACAAACCTTAATCTACCTGACATCTATAGAACAAAATAAACAACTGCAGAATTTGTATGCTTTTAAATTGCATAACATGTATTCAGCAAAATAGTCCATGTTCTGGAACATAAACCAAATCTCAATAAATGTATAAGAATTTAAATCATACAGATTCTTGAAGTACAATTGAAAGAAATAAGAAATGAATAATAGCAAAAGATCTAGGAATACCTCGTATATCTAGAAGTTAAGTATAAAGTATAAATGTCTTAACACAATAATTAAGTAACTGAGATGAGATATATATTAATCAGTGTGATGTAAGCATTCCTAGTTCTGTATGACATCAGCACATTGTATCCCATAAACGCATTAAGGTATACATGACCTATGTGTTTATGATTTAATAAAAAAGAATGGAATCAAAAGAAAAATTAGAACATGTTTTTAATGGAATGACAAACATGCAGCATGTCGCAATTTGTGGGAGGTAGAGCTTAGTAAAAATTCTGAGTTTTGTATGGTTCTATTAGAAAAGAAAAAATGTCTAGAACAAATGTCCTACAAAGGCACTTTGCATCCCAGAGATGCAAGGATGGTACAGCATACATGAATCTATAAATGTAATTCACCACATAAATGGATGTAAAAATAAAGACTATATGATCCTTTCAACAGACACAGAGAAAGCGTTTGACAAAATTCAACACCCATTTGAGATAAGAAAGCTCAACAAAATCGGTATAGATGGGACATTTCTCAAAATTATACAGGCTATAAATGACAAATCTCCAGCCAATATCAGATTGAATGGAAAAAACTGAAAAAATGGTGTAAATGTTATGGGTGTTCCAGAAAAAAACTAAAAATAGAGTTACCATATGATACAGCAATCATTTATCTGAGTGTGTATACCCAAAGGGATTCAAATCAGCACTGGGAAAGATATCTGAACGCCTGTGCTTATTTTTGCAACATTATTCACAATAGCCCAGATGTCAAATCAACCTAAGAGCAGATCAATAGATACATGGAGCAAGACAGGGCACTATATATATACAATGAAATACTACTCATTCTTAAAAAGTGAGAAATCTTACAGCAAGATGGATGAATCTGGAGGAAATCAGGCTAAGTAAAATAAGCCAGACTCAGACAGACAAGTAGCTCACGATTTTACTTATATATGGAAACGAATAGAGTTGAACTCACAGAAATAAAGACTAAAATGGTGATTACCAGAAGCTTGGGGGAAGGTGGAAGGAAAAACATGGGGAGTTGTTGATCAAATGGTACACCGCTTATGCTAGACAGAAGGAACAGGTTTTGAGACCTACCGCACACCTTGGGTGAATACAGTCAATAATATCATCTATTTCAAAAAATTAAGAGACTAAATGTCAAATTTAGCTGAGTTAATCATTCAATATTGTACACATTTCAAAATAATACATTGTTCCTAGTGAATGTATACAATGATAATTTGAAAATTACTAATATTAATAATTAAAAGCATTAAATTGTACATCATAAATATATCATTTTTATTTGTCAATAAATGTAAAATTGATTTTTTAAAAATAACAAAACAAAGTAAAAATAATACTATATAATTCCATGTATTTAAATAAAATATAGTGTTCACAAATGGACAAGGGAATGTTTAACGATAAGTGGTTAAGAAGGGATAGATTACACAGTGTCCTGAGAAGACTCTTGAGGGGATGGAAGTATTCATCTTGATGATTCTGACAGATTTGCAAGTGTACACATATGTCAGACTGATCACATTTTGTACATTATGTAAGGCCTTTTTATTGTACTTCATTATATTTTAACAAAGTATTAAAGGATATGAATTTTCTGATTATTTTTGCTCAAGTAGAATAAATTTAAAAGTTTTATTTTGAAAAAAATAAGAATTAGCAGAGCTATCAAACTCACTTTTAACATTATTTGTGGAAAATAAATGTTTAGCAAAAAATAGTTACTTTTAGCAATAGTTTACAATGGGAGAAAATTCATTTTATTGTTCACAAAATATATTCAGCTAGTCAGCCTCTAGTCAACATGTTGGCAACAATACTCTCAGGAATGTTCAAAGAGTTCTCAAAACATCTGTTTACAAGACAAGATCTTTCATCCTGTTTAAATAGGAGAAACTACATAATTTTCTGGTGAGCTTCAGTCTAAACATTTACCTCTGAATAATTCAGTAGAAAAATAAACCAATATGTAAATCTGTAAAGGAGGAATGCATCTGTGATCAAAAACAACCTATACTTTGCCAAAGATCAGTCCTTGAAAAATAGAGTATCCTTTTTGTATTACGATATTGATTTTCTTAAAAGATCATAAGAACAAATAATTAATGCTGCAATATACAATTATTTACGGATTCTATGGTTTTCCACCTAGTTGAAACCAATGATAAATAAAAACCTCATGTCATGATATATTAGCATTTCATATCACCTTGATATTTTCTCCATCATTCTGAAATTTGAACACATGCTGAGGTGTGATTTGAATCTTAGTTGATCATAGTGTTCTAATGAAGCAGGAGCTCTGTTTTATTCATCATTGCTTCTGCTATCACTTAGCACAAAACCTGATTATGCAAGTGGACTTCACATGTTTCCAAAAATTCTTTTCAATAAACTTTTACAAAATAAACACGTATAAATTGTAGATCTTCGTCTAGATTTTTATTTATTTCCTATAAATCCCTATGCTAGCACATACGGAGAATAATTCAGAAGCTTTAGGCATCCTTGATAAATGAGGGTATGCCTGAGTAAAAGTGTTTTTCAATGTTTGAATATGAAGAGGCCACAAAAGAGTTTCTTCCTTCAATGATCTTATTTTACAAATAAAGAAAATGAGGTTTCAGGGATGCAAGTCTTGCAGCTAATTAGCATATTAACTAATCCTCAGGTTCTAGTATTAGCATATTATGTATGAGTCATTCTGCTTTACGGTGTTTAGGAATATTGAAGATGCTCATTTTTTTGTGAATTCTACATTTCTGAGCTTTTCCAACAGTGATTTCATAATAATTTTATGATATGTCAAATAAATTTTAAAATATTTATAAAATACAAATAAAAGAATCTCTACGTATTGAGTTTCATTAAAAGAGTGTGTTGCCTACCACTTTTACAGGACAGAGGAAAGAGACCAGGTATACTCTAAAGATTTCCCTTCCAAAATGATTGGCAGTTTGAATAGAACTCATATCTTGGCCTCCTTAAGTTTAACAAAAAGGGGTATTGGGGGAAAACCACATGAAGTAAGTTATCAGCATCGCTTCCTCCTTTGTGATGTCTCAAGGATGTTTTGTTTTTTAGTAAGTGTAATAGCAATAAAATGACTCTTCTGAAAATTGTCTAACATTAAAAAATAAAGTCAGTAATTTGTGATAAAATCAAGTTACCTTCTATGCATGACTACCTTTTATAATCCTTTTTAGAATTTGTTGATTTCATTCCAAGAATTTCTTTCTTTTTCTTTCTTTCTTTTTTTTTTTTTTTTTGTAATTTTGGCCAGGCCAGGCTTGAACCCACCACCCCTGGTATATGGGGCTGGCTCCCTCCCTACTCCTTGAGCCACTGGCACCGCCCCAAGAATTTCTTGACAAACACAGTCTATAAATATTGACAATAATATTGATTACTGAGTTTGGTCTGGAGAAAATATCTTCTTTCTAAAGGCATTATCCATAAGAAAATTCATCTTGTTTCATAGTTCTTTTACAGCCTATCAGTATTAATGTACTGAATATGCTCCAATAGAAATATTTTTGTCAATAAGAGTATCTCATACATTCCCATTAAGACAGTTATGTCCTTGAAAGTGTCAGAGAAACTCTAACATTGATTATTCATAATGCATTGAAAATGATGTTAAATGTCTTCATTTTTAATAACACGTACACAAACTTACTTTAAAACTCCAGGCAACGACTTAAGGTGAATTGTGAAGGTTTGATCCACATTAGCTGTTCCACTTCCCAAATCTCACATAGTTATGAAAATGTTTTACTTTTTAAAAAACTGTTCTGTTAGAGTCCTCCCTTCCAAATAGACAATATGTCCCATTCTGATAAAAATATTGATAGAGTTCATTGAATTTAAAATACTAGTTCATATTATATAAGCATCTAAAATAATTGACCAAACCAACTTGAATTAGAAATGAAAACACTTACTACATGTCTGAGACAAAGAACCCCACATATTATAAAGAAACAGATAAAAATCTAAGGATATAGTGACCTAATCAATGTGTTTGGGGTTTAATGTTGCAAAAAGAGAAAATAACTATTTTCAGGATAATTAATGTCAAGATCATTAAACATCCTGTGAAATGTTCTTTAGCACCCACTAGATGTCTCCAATAACTGACTTTTAATGGCTACCTTCCTTCTAAAGCTATGCATTAAATACTAAAATATGAGCTACCTAGGAATTTTAAATTTTGTATGAAAATCATATCTTTTAAAGCAGACAATTTTTTTTGTAATGAAGGTACCAGAGGAAAAAGACTTACATTCAATGTCAAGGTACATGCTCTTTTGGTGGCCTCCAATTCTACTTGCAGCTTCACAGTCGTATCTCCCTGAATCCGACAACTTGACATCTCTAATGTGCAGTGATGAGCTTCCATGCTGCCCTTTGACTTCAATACGGCCATCTGGGCTCTGTTCACGTGAATTCAGGAAAAAGAAAGATTTTATGTTTGTTTGTGCAAAATGATGACCCAGCACATAACATTATGTTATTTTCTATTTTTCTAGCCAAAAAAAAGAAAAAAGTTACTCCAGGTGCAGAAAATATTTCATGTATAGCTGAGATTAAGTTTTTTTTTAAAGAAAACGTTTTAAAATCCTCATAAGAACTTCATGAAGATTTCATGTCCACCACACAGAAACAACATTGTTTTGCCTCCCAAATAAAACATCATTCAGCTGACGTTTAAAGAGGTCTCTGTAGTTTAACCTTTCCATCCAAGCATACTTTGCAGTTTGTATACCATTAACTCCAATTATTTTGAATTACTTGCGTTGTCCTGAATAGCCCTTTCACCCTTCACAAATTTACGAGAAATCTTTCCCTGTTTTTCTATTCCATATGTATATCTCGAGATTCTACTGCTTATCCTTCAAACAAATATCAATCTATATTCAAAATTGTCCCTGTTTGCCTGAATAAATAATTACAACTTCACTGAATTCCATACTTTTCTTGGGACACAGTGATGTGACTAAAGCCTTGTTAGAATGTCAGATTTTATCCTGTAGAATGATATTGTAGTTGAGGAAATGTGAGAAAATTTTGATGTAACTTCATGTGTCAGATATCTGGGCTTCTAGGACAGCATTATGATATTTTTATATAAAAAATTAAGATGTAGGGAAATTTACATATAGTTGAGTAAAGAAAAGGAATCGTTCCGCTAACAGGAATGTTATTGTGGGTTAAAAACTAGGATGTCGTTACCTGTAGCAACAAGTTACTTCCTTAACAATGCAAAGCAAATTCTTCATTTTTATAAAGAAAATACGTTATTTCTATATTCTTTCACATTACTGAAAATAAAGATTTTTTATTCTTATTACCTATTATAGATGGTATAGTTTTTAACTTGTGAAAAATTATTATTTTTTTTTTTTTTTTTTGAGACAGAGCCTCAAGCTGTCCCCCTGGGCAGAGTGTCGTGGCATTACAGCTCACAGCAACCTCCAACTCCTGGGCTCAAGCGAGTCTCCTGCCTCCGCCTCCCAAGCAGCTGGGACCACAGGCGCCCGCCACAACGCTCGGCTATTTTTTGGTTGTAGCGTCATTGTTGTTTGGCGGGTCCAGGCTGGGGATTCGAACCCGCCACCTTAGGTGTACGTGGCTGGCGCCTTAGCCGGTTGAGCTATAGGCGCCGAGCCAAAAAATTATTGATGTAGATAATATCAGCATGCTATTAGAAAAAGTGTTGCTATTTAAGCATTATTATTACTGTACCTGAAATTATGAACAGAAATTCTGTAAAAACAATTTGGGGAATATTTGCACCTCTTTAGGATATTTTTAGTCATTTTCAGACTTAACATTGGCTCTGTAACAATGCACAATGTACAGGTGACTCAAATTCTTACACTACAAGACCAAAGAAACTTTTTTCCTCACATCTGACATTCCAAAGGACATGTCTCTCTTTGTGTAACAAAAAAGCATTACACATATCTGAAAGGAGATTCATTCATATCTTGGCTCTGATTAAACATCTCCCAAAGATTTATTTAAAACATCTGATATTTGAGACAGGTTAATGGGCATTTTAGATATCTATTTAGAATTTCCAGGTTCTACCAGTGAATTAAGTCAGACGATTAGAAAGCAAAGTGTGTAATGTTCCTTATTATTCTCATCCTTTATAGAAATTTACTCTATGAAATTTGATTTGATGTTATATTCTTTGTGTCTTTCTAGAGGTCAGTTTAAGAACTGCTTATTTGAATATTATTTCAACATTTTTATAAAAGGTTATTTACCAAGTTTACGGTCCTTTCAAGAATCCCTTAATCAAATATTCATATGAGGTAAGTTCCAACTTAAATTTTTTGTTGGTAATTTCAATTAAAATTATACACTGACTCATGCTTATGGTTATTTTTGTGAACTTACCTGACTAGACCTGTATTGTCCAATTTGGAATCTACATGTAGTTTGCAGCACATTTGAGGTTGCCTCTACTTCCCATCTTTATTAAACTGTGGCCTTGAACACTGTGCCCTTGAATATTTTTAGAGTGATGAATCCCTTTTGCCTTTTGAGAAAATTATGGATCACATCACTTGGCCATTTAGAAATTGTGGGTGTCTGTGTGTGTGTGTGTGTGTCTTTGCATGTGTGCGTGCACATACACATGTACACAGACACAATACACTACCAGAAGGAGCCAATCCCTGGGGACACAGTGATGAGCAAAATGGAATAGTTTCTACCTTTAGCAGAGTTAAAGTTTATTGAAGAAGACATATTACTTTTAAAATATAATACAAATAAATTGCAATATGTAAGGAGACCACAGTTTCATTGGGGGGGTGTGAGTAAATGGGTAGGTGGAGTCTAGTCAGTGTGGTATTTGCTGAAAAATAGGAGGGTAAATGAAACCTGTGACTGATGAAAGAGAGGTGGTGTTGAGGAGTGAATTCTCAGCAGATGTAACAAGAGGTTATATGAAAGTAAGTAGATGCACAGAAGTGAATAAGGCTTTTAGGGCTCCTGATGTTGGACAAGGAAATAGAGACCACATGCAGAATCCAAACCCCTATATATGTGCCAAAAGTGTGCACCCAATTTTGCACTCATGCATTACATATTGTTTGCCTCATTCCCAATGGCACTGTTTCATTGTTGAATGTCAAGTAAACTCAACTTCAAATACTTGAAGGTATTTGAAGGCATCACCTTCACCCTTAAAGGTGAAGACAATGTGTGTGCATAACTGCTAAATATATAAACAGGAAAACCAAAAACTCTCCAAAGACCATAAGAATTAATTTATACAGACTAACATCTGAAAAATTATTTTAATATTGTGTAAATTTGACAAAGCTCTACCATCATACCAGGAATTTTAAAGACATGGATTATTTTTCCTCCTTAAAAATCCTTTAATTTACTACTAGCTATATTCTCTTTGCTCTGGGTTTGCTCCCAGCTTTCTAATTTTCTCCCTATTTTGATCTCATGCAGTGAATGTTTTTACATTACTCTTGCTCCTAACATTATAAATGATACTATAAAGAGAAAAATGTGCAATAAAAATTCTTAAGGTAGTTTCTTCACTAGGTCCTAGTGCTATTTTAATTTTCATTATATTCATTGTCAGTAATTTATTCAAAAACTAGAAATTGAGGACAATAATCATTATAGGTAATGTACATGATAAATAACACTTGGTAAATGATTTCCTAAACACTTTATGTTTACTAGTCATTTAATCCCAGTGATATTGCTATGAGTTTAAGATGAATATAATGCCCATTTTAAGATGAGGAAATTAATACAGAGAAAAATAAATAAATAACTTTCTATGTCCTATAGTTTGTATGCACGTGAATGACCAGGCTGTTTGGCCTTGGCGTTCATGTTATGAATTAATTTTGCTTTAAAGTTTACAACTGCAATCACAACTATGTGGTCAAACCACCTATCAACCATACATAAGTGATAGAAACTATACTGGAATATGGGAAGGAAAAAAAAAAATAAAGGGAAAGCTCATAGAGTAGAATTGGAATGTTCCTAACTCAAAGAAATGTTAAATGTCTGAGGTGATAGATACTGCAATTACTCTGATTTAATTATTTCATAATGTACGCCTGTATCAAATCATCATGCATACTCAAGTCATATCCATGAGAAAGTAGACCCTCAGTAGACATTGAGTCTGTCCTACTAGTCAGTGCCTTCATCTTGGAATTCCCAACCTCTAAAATAGTGAGAAATAAATTTCTCTTGTTTATTAGACACCCAATTTATGGTATTTTATTTTAGAAGCTTTATTTATTTAGAGCCTCATTTATTTAGAGGTCAGGGTGACATACTGAGAACACATTACACCCATGAGGTGCTGGGAAAAGTGGTGGTAGGAAAGATGATGAGGAGAGACTGGATTCCACAGACTTACTAGGTGGAACTGACAGTGTGCAGTGAATGACTTATTGAGAGGAGGCAATGAAAGAAAGGAGGAAATAAATATATCCAGGATTTGTCCCAGACTCCTAGGTAAGAAATATTATCTATATTAGTAGATTGTTATATGTTATAAAATTGTTATGTGTATACAAAATACTCTCTGCAAGCATTGGTATTTAAGCACATGTTTTCATAATACACGTGCCTTACATTTCATATTACATATTCGGTATCTTAATTAAAACTAATATTTAAATTCAAAATATAGCCTTAAGAAAATTATAAGTAGAATAAAACTTTTGGAGATTTTTATTTTCAAAAAAATGAGACTAGGTAGATTTCAACGAACCTTTGTCAAAATGTTGGTTTTCAGAATGATACCTGAATATTTATATTACTATATGACTGTTCAACTGTTTCTTTCTTCATTTTTTTAAAGTCTGGGAGAAAGAAATAATTTTTTTTTTTTTTTTTTGCAGTTTTTGGCTGGGGCTGGATTAGAACCCGCCACCTCTGGCATATGGGGCCGGAGCCCTACTCCTTTGAGGCACAGGCACTGCCCGAAATAAATAATTTTTTTATTTCACATTGATATGAGGGCACAAATATTTAGGTTAAATTGTTCCATTTCTAAAATAAAGTACAAGTTGTAGTTGAGCCCTTCAACCAGAGGCAGGGCTGAACACCTTCACCTTGTGTACATTACCTTAGATCCTGCCAATTGCCCTCTGTCCTCCCTCCACTCCTGTTCTCTGCTCCTTCTCTCCTCTTCCCTTTTCCCTCTATCCCTCATCTCCCTCTCTTGTCCCCTCCACCTCATTAGACTATACTTGTATTTTTCTTTTTAATATAACATAATAGTTAAGAACATGGACTTTGTAGTACCAGACTGGAAAGGTTTATATTCTGGATATCCCACCTGTAAGCTCTAAGACCTTGATAACTACTTAGCTATACCTCAGGTTCCTTTCTGTATCATGGATTGAATATTGAAGATTTTATATGA